GTCATATTCCTGTAGAGGGAGACAGTATCTCAAATGAGAAGTTCTCTAGGACCCTCCATCTAAGTATATCCACCCTCCAAAGCAATAGTTGGATTGTATATCTGTCATCTATTTTGTATTGTATTAAATTTGATCTGTCCTAAATTTGCTCTTTATCAGTACCCCACCTGAAATAATACTGTTAAATACCTGTTATGCATTTGAATTAAACTTGGGTGGAGGACGTTTTGTCTTGGGTGATTAGAATATTTTTTAAATTGCTACATAACCACAGTCAGTGGAAGTTGCTGTATGTGTGGCAAGGCAACATACACAAGACTGCATTTACATTTCGCAGTGCTTTTTATTCACAAATGGATTACAATAGAGAAACATAAGCAATTTGTCACAGAGCCAACAATATTCATAGTCTACAATGCCAGGTTTATTAGAAAGCTAAACTAGGAAACAAGCTAGGGCAACGGTGAAACGCAAAGAAAAGGAAGATTTTGTATTTGTGTAAGTGCCATGGTTTAAGGGTGTCTATGTAAGTGACAGAATAGAAATACACGAGCTGTGTACAGAGGGAATTACGTAATACAATACAATCTGACCCTTGGTGCATTAGATAACAGAATACCAAAGTGTCATCTGCAAACAAATGATACTAGAACTTTTCTCACAACCTTTTTTGCAGTTGACTCTGTGTTGGATAAAGTCAGTTCCCCTCAAGTTCACACAAAAAGTGTCCACATTTTTTTAGTAATATATTTATTATGTGTATATTTTTGAGATTGCTATACAATATAGTACAGAGGGATGTTATAGAATTTAGTAGTCAAACTTGTATTTTTTATGTGGACTTTCTACAAGTTGTGTGATGATAAAACATGAATGCCTTTGAAGATAGAAATCTGATAACTGCATAATGATCATGAGATAAAAATAATGTTTTCCATAAAACATTTGAGTAAATGATTAACTATAAGGGTGCTCCAGTCAGGATTTTTTGGGCGGCTTGTGATCACAGGATGCAATATTTGCCGATAAGATCACTGATACCGATCTTTTTGAAGCCTTCTTTTTATCATGTAGAATTATTTATAGTCATGCTCCAGTCAAGATTTTTACAGACGCATCTATGTTTCCATCCAAAGATGCGAATTTAACTTATGCGCAAAACTGGAATATCGCATAAAACATTTGTGAATAAAGCACCATTTCCATCCAACGAGTCAAAGAGAACAAAATCTGCCGCGTCCCTATAAACTGGCACTAAATTAAGAAAACTAGGAGAAGCCACTGAATATAATAATTTTCATATGTAATCAATTACTTTTTTTAATGTTTGCTTTTTTAGAGAGCGGACGTAACACAATAATGCGGTCATTGCTTTTAGAGGTGGATGCCTGCTGTTTGTGAACGCAGTCATGTAAGACAGTAATTATACAGAAATACTTTGATGACAGGCTTTCCTCAGGCATTTCAGAATGACCAAAACAACATATAGATGCTGTGAATGAGATCGGTCCGCTGGTTAGTCAATTGATCCCGTCTCATATCGCAAAGTCACATGACTTTTTCAATGCGCATGGTGGAATTTATTCGGTAAATGTGTCTCCATCGTAGTTTATGCGCATTTTTTCTTATCGGATAAAATGTTTATCCTACTCAGATGTGCATATAAGTTTTTTTTTATGCGTATTTTTGGAATTTATGCGCATTATAGGCTTAGATCTCTGCCACAATTCTGCGCGTGAAATATCATATTTTGAGCGCACAAAAGTTATCACGCGCGCTATCTGAGTTTTGTGGAGAAAATGTAAGTTTCGCAAAGAAAAAAGTATTTTGAGCGCACGAAAATCAATTTTGCATTTAAAATAAGTTTTTGGATGTGTGCAGACCTTCTCTTTTGCCCCGCCTTCAGTGCTCTCTAAAGCCAACGGCTCGCTTGCTCAACACAACCCAGTGTTACAATATGCCATAATTCCAGCCAATCAGAGACGAGGCTGCTAAATTCTGATTGGCTGCCTTGACAACCATTCACAACATTTCTTGCATTACCGCAGACAGCAGAAGAGGAAAAATACAGTGCATGAATAATTATTATGCAAGTTGATATTCTGATTATATTTTTTTCCAAGCACATTTTACCAATTCCAAACGACATCAATCTTATTAACTACTATTAATCTTGTATTTAATCACTTGTAATCGATATACTATTGTTCATGAAGGCTGGAAGTGAAAAACGCCTTATATTCAGGTGTGTATAATTAAGCAGGTTATCTTCTACAGATAAAATGTCAAGATGGACTAAAAATGAACTCCCAAAACTTACTGCCAGATTCTGGAAGATAAATTCTTCAAACAGTGGTACAAGAGGATGTGGTGCTGGTCCTTCAAGAAGATTGATGTCGTTTGGAATTGGTCAAATGTGTTTGGAAAAAAATACAATCAGAATATCAACTTGCATAATAGATATACATGCACTGTAGTTTTCCTCTTCTGCTGTGAGGTAATGCAAGAAATGTTGTGAATGGTTGTCAAGGCAGCCAATCAGAATTTAGCAGCCTCGGTCTCTTGATTGGCTGGAATTATGGCACATTGTAACACTGGGTTGTGTGGAGCAAGCGAGCTGTTGGCATTTAGAGAGCACTGAGGGCGGGCATCAGGTGAGCAAGCTAGTGAAACGTTGCACGCGCAAAAGAGAAGGTCTGCACACATCCAAAAACATATTTTAAATGCAAAATTGATTTTCGTGCGCTCAAAATACTTTCTTCTTTGCGAGACAAACATTTTCTCCACAAAACTCAGTTCGCGCGCGTGCAAAGCGCACTTTTGCGCGCTCAAAATATGATCTTTCGCGCGCAGAATTGTGGCAGAGATCACACTTACTCCGTTTGCATTGCGTATGCAGTCTGTGTGCGGTACGTAAGCGGTGCAGAAGCAACACAGACTCATTGTGCTTTCACACAAAGGTCCGCCGCTGATCCGCGGCTGTTTGCCACAAGCACATCATTTATCCATTTTGATTTCAAATCCAAACGTTGTTACTGAAAATGGTTTGAGCATTGTGATTCTGTTTTTACGCAGTACAGTAAAACAGTATTTCATAAACGTGTTTAAACGCAATAAATATAAGCAAGAAGAGTATGTTTGAACCTGGTACTATGTGTACGCTTTGAGTGTGCATGAGCGCACTGTCTAGGAGAGCGCGCAAGTGCTGGATGGTTTAACACTGTCCAGAATAAAAAAGAAATGAAAATTATAAACTTTAATGACGATGCAACAGTGCCTCGATTGTGCAAGTGACAATTCCTGTGTGAACTATGCAGCTTGCTTATTTGAAGCAATTTGCGCATTTAGAGAGGGAAAGAGAGCACGCGGTGATTCACTCACGCTGTTTGTGAAATTGTCTCACCGAAAGTTTTTCAATTTAAAAATATGAATTGTACCTCACCATCGCATTATAATTATTTTACCCCTCGCCGACAGAGATTGAGACGGTGCCGCTGCGTGTTGTGCCAAACCTCTCACAGCAGGCGCGTCGTCAGCTTGAGATCGGCCTTATTAGCCATTATCGGCCGATCAATCGGAGCACCCCTATCTATCTATCTATCTATCTATCTATCTATCTATCTATCTATCTGTTACAGGACGAAGCCTCCACTATCAAAACCTTTGATTGAGACCCACTCCACTGATTCACTCCTTCTGGGTATTGAAATCAAATTATGATGTTACAGAGCACTTTACTTTGCTGTTGTGTAGTGATAATTTTCACAGTAACCTTTCACTTGTTCAACTTTGTTTCTTTGACAGATGGTCACAGCCTTGACTCGGACAGATATTGTATTATCGGTGCTGATCTAAGAGACTTTCCAACTTTAGAGGAGAAACTAAAAAAGTTCCAGATAAATCCAGAGTATGTACTGTAATGTCCCAACCTTGGCTGAGTTAAATATAAATTCAAAATTTTTTCTGTCTTTCTATTACACTACATTTTTGTGATGTTTTATCAGCATGGTTATCAAAGAAGATTATATAAGTAAGTGCCGTTACAACATCAGGATTAGCCTCTCTTATCTTTATTGTGATGTACAGACTTGTCTTTCTGAAAGGTTCACGTTTAATTTGTTGCCTCAGTTACATGTTTGTTGTATAATTCTGCGACTAAAGTTAACGGTTGACGGAATGTTGCGTATCAGAACAATAGGATTTTGAGGTATAACTCAATTTACTTGAAAGATAACTTAACGATTCTGTGCATCCTAGATAGGGTTGATCCATCCTGTTTGGCATACCAATAGGAGTTGCATGCATCTGTTGTTTTGTTTTCGTGCATCTCTGCTGATGCCCCGACGACAATAGTACACTCGGGAGCAGTTAAATTTTCCTCAGATGCGTCAATAAGTGTATGTTTTCTTTGATGTGAACTGATGAGACCCGAAGGAAGCTACCGTTCTAGAAGGTGTATGACATCAATGGCATCATTTCCAAGGTCTCTCATTTTGAGGGGTTTATTTTTTTTTTTGCAACTTCCTGTTCAGTCCACCCTAACGTGGCGTCTTTTGCCAGCTGCAAATCCCATCAGTGTCTCAGATGCTGAGTAAAAAAATTCTGCAGTGTCTATTGTCATAGCACGCAAACCACTCTTCCAAAAACGTGACTTTCTGTTGTGTACTTTCACATATTTCCATTATGATTTGTTTCCAGGAACAAACTTCTTGTTTTGCTTTAATGCATGAACTGATTAAATTGTGATGTTTTTAATGGGGGAAAAAATTTAAAATCTGATTCTAGAAAACAAGATTGGATTTAGTTAATGCATTAGGTAAGAAACAAATTTTTGCAGTATTTATTAATATGCAATACTGTTCATGAGTGTTTTTTATGTTTTTGAAATACATCTCTTATGCTTACCAAGGCTGCATTTATTTGATAAAAAATATTTTCAAATGTAATTTATTCCTGTGATGGCAAGCTGAATTTTCAGCAGCCATTAAGGTCACATGATCCTTCAAAAATCATTGCTCAAGATACATTTTTTATTATTATCAATGTTGAAAACAACTATGCTGCTTAATATTTTTATGGAAACTAATACATTTTTGACCATTTTTTGATGAATAGTAAGTTCAAAAGAACAAACTTTTTTGTTAATATATGCAGAAATTAACATTAATATATATTAATAAATGGTATAAAAAGTACTGTTGGTCATTGTTAGTTCATGATAGATAGATAAAATGTTATCACATTTTAAAATGTTACCCATAATTCATAGTTAAATTTAGCCTCTATCTAGAGTAGGTGTGTCAAACGCAATTCCTGGAGGGCCGGAGCCCTGCAGAGTTTAAATTCACCCTTAATTAAACACTAATCAACAAATCAAGTCCTTCAGGCTTATTTGAAAACTACATGGTATGAGTGTTGGAGCAGGGTTGGAAGAAAACTCTGCAGGACTCCGGCCCTCCAGGAGTTGAGTTTGACATCCCTGATGAGGAAGCTTAATCATAGGATGGGTGTTTTAAAGAAACACTTCCCCACCATTGATATTGATATTCCCCAACATTCCTTTATCTGTGTATTCCTGCTTCTTTCCACCTAGGTTACCCACTCTGTTTTTGTCTGAGTGTGTACTGGTGTACATGACCTCTGAGCAGTCCTCTAAACTGGTGCACTGGGTTGCAGACACCTTCCCCACGGCCATGTTCATTAACTATGAGCAGGTGAGTTTTAAACAGCTTCATTATTACAGTCATGTAAAAACATGAACTGGAAAATTGTGAGCTCTTCCTGTCTACACCTCTAAGTGTCCAGATCTTTTCAGGTGAACATGAATGATCGCTTTGGGGAGATCATGATTGAGAATCTACAGAGACGACAGTGCAATCTGGCTGGGGTGGATCTGTGTCAGTCTCTGGACTCTCAAGTATGACATTTTACATTTAGAACTAGAAACTTTCTAACTCTTTATTTCTAATGTACTTCAGTGATATTGTACAGCTGTCAAACTGTATGATTGTTGATTGTTCTACTCCCTACAGTAAAACAGTGTCTTTCTATGTACAATCAAAACATTAGACTGGGTTGTACTTGGAATTCAAAGTTGTTTTCCTGCTCAACATACAATGGGTGATCAAGACTCAGGAAAACAGAGCAGTTAAGCTCAAGTCATTGTTTACTGCAGCCACCGCCAACACTTAAGTCTCTCTCAAGCAGTATCAGCACAGGCCTCTCAATGTTACCACCACCATGGTGCCCTTTTGTAGACACCCTAGAATATCTGGTCAACATGGCTTGAAAATTTTGCTCAGATTGATAATGTGGTAGTGTTAATGATGGTAGTATATTATTTTAGTTTCATTAATATACAAATACAGATTTATTCATATTTTCTGTACTCTTTCGTAGGTTCACTCAACGTTGCGTTGCTATGACACAATGGGAACGCCCCTTCGGTGTGCTGATTGTCTGATTGTCTGGCGTGGGTGCCACCTCAACTTCACCACGTCACCCACTCTAATACTAGCGACCGTGCCATCCGCTCCTCAGTCGTTTAGCCCTTCAGAAGCGATTTATCTGGTCCATGTTTCGGCTTATTTCTTTGAGTTTCTCTTTTGCACTTCCGCAACTGCATTCAGTGGAACCTTGTTTCTTCTCATGGTGAAGTGCTATGGAGTTTCGTCGCTGCCTGCTGCCATGCTTCCACTTTATCGTGAGCGATGACCCGCACAGTAAGTGTGTTAAATGTATAGGTTTGTCTCACGCACGCGAGGCTTTTTACGGCGTTTCTAACTGTAAATTTAATAAGAATCTCTGTCTCAAAACTTTTTGAGCGAGGCTCACGGTTGTTGAGAAGGAGTCATCTGTTTTCCCCCGTCGCACTGCTCCGGAGGCTGCTGAGGCCCTCCGTGAATCCACATCCTGAGGTTTGGATGTGGAGCTCAAGGCTATAGAGGGTGAGCAGACGGGCCTCGCCCTTTCTCTCCCTCTCACCTGAGTGCTCTTACGTGGATTCGCCCGTGGGGATTGTCCACGATTATTTATGTCCCAGCCTGGAGGCACGCAAGGCTGTTTCTTTCTGGTTAGATGAAATGTTGTACTCCACGGCATCTGACTTGGAGGATTTTGGGCTAGAGAGTCGACATTCTCCCGCCTGCGGCCTATACTGAGCTAGTGGACGAGTTAGTGCGTGCTACCACAAAGCTTAATATTGAGTGGCCGGACAAACCGCATGAGTTTTCTTGTGTCATCTTCCTGTGGTAAACAGTGCCTTAGAGGCTTCTGTTCTGCAGAAGGATGTCTTCTTTCTCCTCCTCAAGGGTGTGATAGAGGAGGTGAATCGTGTCGTCTTCAGTTGCTGTTTCCTTCTTTCGAAAAAAAGGACAGAGGTCTGCGACCTATTTTAGATCTGCACCGGCTAAATTTTTTTCTTTAAAAAGGGCAATTGAAAATGCTAATGCTGAAGGCTGTTCTGGATCAATTTCACACGGGGGATTGGTTTGTTTCTGAAGGATGTTTATTTTCATATTCAGGTTGTTCAGCGGAACAGGAAGTTCCTCAGTTTCACCTTTGGGGGAAAGGCATACCAGTACAGTTCTTCCCTTCAGTCTGGCTTTGGCTCCACGGATGTTCACGAAGTGCAATGATGCTGCTCTGGCCCCGTTGAGGCTCCAGGGCATCCGTGAGCTCAACTACCCGGACGATTGGCTCATCTTGGCCTATTCCAGGGAGTTGGTGAGTCTTCACAGAAACATTCTTCTTCGCCATCTTCGATCTCTTGGCCTCGGGTTGAATGCTCAGAAGAGCACTCTCACCGTTTCTCAGTGTTCTCACCATTTCTCAGCGGATCATTTTCTTGGGGGTCCAGCTCAATTCTGTTTCAATGAAGGCCCGTTTTGCTCTGCTCAGATTTCCAGTATCAAAACATGTTTGACCTGCTTCAAACTAGGCCATCATGTTTCGGTGAGCACATGTCACAGACTCCGCGGTCTCTTGGCAGCGGCCTCTCCTGTGCTGCTCCTGGGGCTGCTTCATATGAGTCAATTTCTGTGGTGGATGAAGTCCAAAGGAGTTCGTCCCTTGAGGCCGGACCTCTGCCTACTAAAGAGTGTCGCACAGTTGCTTTTGCACCCTCTTGACATGGCGGGACCCTCTCTTTCTTCAGCAGGGGTTCAAGGTGGGTGCTCTTTGCCATCGCCAAATAATTATGACGGATGCCTCCGTAACTTGATGGGGCACGGTCTTCAAGGTTTGTGGTGTCTGGACGGGAGAGATTCTCTCATGGCACATAAACAGCCTAGAGCTGTGAGCCATTGTCCTGGCCCTGTTGCATTTCCTCAATTCTGATGGGTTGTCATGTGATCGTCAGAATGGACATCATGGCGGTAGTGTCTCACATAACCTTCACATAACAGGCGTGTGCGCTGCCTCCTCCTTTGGGCTCAGGACAGGTTTCTTTCGCTGAGAGCGGTTCACGTCCCTGGACCTCTGAACCTCGCAGCGGACTTCCTATTGAGACAGAAACTCAAGTCGGGGGACTGGATGCTGAGCCGCCAGACGGTGGCTCTGGTCTGGGATCTTTTCGGCAAGGCAGAGGTAGATCTATTCACGTCGCAGGAATCGACTCAATGTACCCTTCGGTTCTCCCTATGTCACCCGGCACCTCTGGGGATAGATGCTTTTGCTCACCCGTCGCTGAATCTGATGCTGCACGCATTTCCACCAAGCAAGTTGATTACAGCTGTCTTGTGCAGAGTGAGGGAGTGTGGAGTCTGTCTCCTGTTGATAGTCCTGTTCTGGCCATCCCAGATGTGGTTCTCGGAGATAGTCTCCCTTCTAGAGCACACCCCATAGGAGATTCCAAACAGGAATGATCTGCTGTCTCAACTCCGGGGCAGAATCTGAGACCCTCAGCCCGAGATTTGGAGGCTATGGGTGTGGCCAATCAAGGGCGATTGGCTGTGACCTCTGGTCTTTCTGTGGACGTTCAGGAAACCATTGATAATGCTAGGGCTCCTTCTACTTGGAGGCTTTATTCTTCCAAGTGGAAGTTTTTTGAGTTTGGCTCATGCAGTGGACCCAGTCAGCTACCAGATTGGTTCAGTGCTGGAGTTTTTGCAGAAGAAGCTTGCGGCTGGGTTGGCTGATACCACCTTGAGAGTTTATGTTGCAGCTATTGCTGCTCGCAGGTATACGGACAAAGTCCCTCTAGGTTGACATCGTTTGGTTTATGCGTTTATGCGTGGGGTTAGGCGTTAGAGGCCAGCACACCCTATCAGTGTTGCTTCCTGGGACTTGTTTATAGTCCTGGAGGGCTTATTGGAGTCGCCATTTGAGCCTTTGAAATTAGCTCCTGAACAGATTCTGACCCTTAAAGTGACGCTCCTGTTGGCGTTGGCTTCTATTAAACACGTAGGGGGGTTGCAGGCTTTCTCTGTTAGCGAGTAATGCGTGGAGTTTGCTCCAGGCCTTGTTAAGGTATTCCTACAGCCCAGACCCGATCATGTCCCCAGGGTCTTGTCCACGTCATTTCACTCCCAGGTCATCATGCTTCACTCCTTCTGTCCTCTTCCTTTTGCTTCTGTTGAGGACGAGAAGCTTCACCTGCTCTGCCCTGTTCGAGCTTTGATGCTCTATGTGGACCGCTCTAGCCAATTGTGCAAGTTTTCCCAATTGTTGGTGTGTTTTGGTGCTGGCCGTATTAAAACATAGGATTTCTCATTGGGTAAGGGACGCTATCTAGCTTGCGTATGAGGTTCGCGGTCCCTCTTCACCACTAGTTATTCAAGCTCATTCTACCAGGAGTGTCTCAAGCTCTTTTCAGAGGAGTTCCCTGGATGATATCTGTGTGGCAGCAGGATGGTCCTCTCCTCACACTTTTATCAGGCTTTATAGCTTGGATTTAGATTCGGCTCCCGGTTCCCAGATTCTTTCTGCTTGAACCAGACTTTTGAGGTTAGCCTGCGTTTGCTGCCAAGCTCCTTGCGCTGCCGACAGGACTTCTTCGGCAGGAAATCTGAGGAGCAGATGACGCGGCCGCTAGTATTAGAGTGGGTGACGTAGTGACTTCGAGGTGGTGCCCGCGCCATCAGCCAATGAATTAGTGTGTTTCCATACGGGCTTCAAACAATCGGCACACCCAAGGGGAGTTCCCATTGCGTCATAGCTACACAGCGTCTCGTTCCCTATTCAGAGAACATGGGTTACTTGAGTAACCAGAGACATTTTAATTTTAGTTAAAGTTTTCATAATTGTGTACTGCCATGGTGACCTTCTTTAGACATATCAGAATATCTGGTCAACGTGGCTTGAAATTTGTAATCAGAATGAAAATTCAAAGGGTTAATGATGACAATGTTTCATATTAGTTTCATTAATATACTAATATAAATGTATTCATATTTTGAATTAGTTTTTATTTGAATAATTTAATATTTAAATTAATAAGTTTTAGTAATTTTGTACCACCATGGTGACCTTCTGTAGACTAGATACCTTAGAATATCTGGTCAACATGGCTTGAAATATGTATTGAGATTGAAAATATGAAGAGTTTATGATGATAGTATGTTATAAGATCTCTTGTAAGTGCATCTTATTTAAAAATGTTCTGTTTTAGGGCTGGGACAATAAATCGATGCATCGCGATTTGTGGATCGATTCTGAGATTTTCTGAATGCATCGTGATTCTCTCTGGAATCGATTCTGAGCTTAGTTTTTAACAGCAGATGGCGCTCTAGACTAGTTTTTAGCCGCACACTCAAATGCTTACGAAGAAGAGCGCTTGGGCTAAATGTACTTGCACATCTGCTTTTGTGATGCCAGATTAATGTAAACACAGTCCACTGTGAACATCCTTATGATTCGCTTCAAACTTTTCGTACTTTATGAATGATTATTTTTGGTTCAAATGGTGCGTGTGTAAGGAACTGGAAGCAAGCAGAATACGGCTGTTTCTAAAGCACGGAGTGCCATCTGCTGTTAAAAACTAAGCTCAGAATCGATTCAAGAGAGAATCGCGATGCCTTTGGAAAATCTCAGAATCGATGCAGAATCATTTCGCGATTCGCGATGCATCGATTTATTGTCCCAGCCCTAGTTTTTATTTTAATTTAAAAGTTTTAGAATTTTGTTGTTTTTGTCTAATTAAAGTATTTTGTATGTTATATTTTATTTCAGTCAACATGTTTCAAGTAATGAAAATCAAATGTTTTAAATGGTTTTAGTTTTAGGTAATGATAATTACCCTAATGTTTGTTTCCACAGAAGGAGCGCTTTCTGTCAGCAGGCTGGAAAAGTGTAAACGCACTGGACATGATGACGGTCTACAGCATGCTTCCTCAGGAAGATGTAGCTAGGTACACAAGCCAACACTACAGTACAGTTGTAATCAAGTGTATATTTATAACTGTTCAACCTGTGCCAGGAAAGTTTGAGATCAGAATCTCTACAATGACGTTCTTTGTTTTACAATCACACAATCACAGGTCTTGAGTTTTTAGATGAAAAGGAACTTCTCCAACAGCTTCTACAACACTACTGCATTTGCTGGGCTGTTGGGCTGTAGCTCAATCTAGGTGAGGCTTCCATTTTACCCAATTAACTGCGTCTAGAGTTTCATGGATCGTTTGACATCACCTGTAAGTAATAGCGGACTTCTCTTTTCAGGCCTCTCACAAATTGGGTTTTAAACGTCAGTTGGGACTTGGTTGTAAAAGTTTCATTTGAATCAGCAAGAGTGGACAGGATGCTCTTCTTGACCCTTTTCAGAGGATAGGAAGGGGAAGTCATTTATATCTTTTTTTCCATTTTTGAGCACAATAAAAATGGAGACTACTGGCATCAGCGTCTTTTCTTCTGTTTTACTTGTCTCCTGTCTCCCATGTGACCGACGTGTCTCACTAAAGTGCCATATTAATTCAGACATGTTTTACAAATGAATAGCATAGCTGTTTAACAATCGTGAAACATTCATAGGATCACAAAAAAAATACGTTTTGTTAGCCATATGTATAGCAATTGGTTTTTATAAAAGCACTGAATGTTCATTAACAATGATGATGAATAAAGACAATTAAGAGTATAAAATGATGATTAAGTGCATGATTTATTATTGCACTTAAAAATACCCTAGATTTGAAACCATTTTACACAATCTACATTGTGTAAAATTACAGCATCAAAATCCTAGGAAGAGGGATGTCCTTGTCAAACCATATAAATTTGTCATAGGCAGCCCTCAATTAAATTTCTTCTGAATAAAATGTAAAGTTGGTTGATTATATGTATAGAATAATAAATAAAAAACTAAACCAAACATAATTTTACTTTAATAGCTCATAAGTTTGTGTCATACCATGGGCTTTCTTTTTGACTATATAGTACCATTCAACAGTTGTTTGTTGTTGTTTTTTCATAGTACCATTCAACATTTTTTTGAAAAGGAAATTAATACTTAAGGAACTGGAAGCAAGCAGAATACGGCTGTTTCTAAAGCACGGAGTGCCATCTGCTGTTAAAAACTAAGCTCAGAATCGATTCAAGAGAGAATCGCGATGCCTTTGGAAAATCTCAGAATCGATGCAGAATCATTTCGCGATTCGCGATGCATCGATTTATTGTCCCAGCCCTAGTTTTTATTTTAATTTAAAAGTTTTAGAATTTTGTTGTTTTTGTCTAATTAAAGTATTTTGTATGTTATATTTTATTTCAGTCAACATGTTTCAAGTAATGAAAATCAAATGTTTTAAATGGTTTTAGTTTTAGGTAATGATAATTACCCTAATGTTTGTTTCCACAGAAGGAGCGCTTTCTGTCAGCAGGCTGGAAAAGTGTAAACGCACTGGACATGATGACGGTCTACAGCATGCTTCCTCAGGAAGATGTAGCTAGGTACACAAGCCAACACTACAGTACAGTTGTAATCAAGTGTATATTTATAACTGTTCAACCTGTGCCAGGAAAGTTTGAGATCAGAATCTCTACAATGACGTTCTTTGTTTTACAATCACAGAATTGAGCGTCTTGAGTTTTTAGATGAAAAGGAACTTCTCCAACAGCTTCTACAACACTACTGCATTTGCTGGGCTGTAAAAGATAAGCTCAATCTAGGTGAGGCTTCCATTTTACCCAATTAACTGCGTCTAGAGTTTCATGGATCGTTTGACATCACCTGTAAGTAATAGCGGACTTCTCTTTTCAGGCCTCTCACAAATTGGGTTTTAAACGTCAGTTGGGACTTGGTTGTAAAAGTTTCATTTGAATCAGCAAGAGTGGACAGGATGCTCTTCTTGACCCTTTTCAGAGGATAGGAAGGGGAAGTCATTTATATCTTTTTTTCCATTTTTGAGCACAATAAAAATGGAGACTACTGGCATCAGCGTCTTTTCTTCTGTTTTACTTGTCTCCTGTCTCCCATGTGACCGACGTGTCTCACTAAAGTGCCATATTAATTCAGACATGTTTTACAAATGAATAGCATAGCTGTTTAACAATCGTGAAACATTCATAGGATCACAAAAAAAATACGTTTTGTTAGCCATATGTATAGCAATTGGTTTTTATAAAAGCACTGAATGTTCATTAACAATGATGATGAATAAAGACAATTAAGAGTATAAAATGATGATTAAGTGCATGATTTATTATTGCACTTAAAAATACCCTAGATTTGAAACCATTTTACACAATCTACATTGTGTAAAATTACAGCATCAAAATCCTAGGAAGAGGGATGTCCTTGTCAAACCATATAAATTTGTCATAGGCAGCCCTCAATTAAATTTCTTCTGAATAAAATGTAAAGTTGGTTGATTATATGTATAGAATAATAAATAAAAAACTAAACCAAACATAATTTTACTTTAATAGCTCATAAGTTTGTGTCATACCATGGGCTTTCTTTTTGACTATATAGTACCATTCAACAGTTGTTTGTTGTTGTTTTTTCATAGTACCATTCAACATTTTTTTGAAAAGGAAATTAATACTTTTATTCAAGGATGCATTACATTGATCAAAAATGACAGTCAGTGACAGTGTGACAGTTTTACATGTTATAAAAGATTTCTATTTTAAATACATGCTGTTCTATTGAACTTTCATCAAAGAATCCTCATCAAGAATATTAAGCAGGACAACTGTTCTCAGGATTAATAATAATAATAGGAAATGTTTCTTGAACACCAAATCAGCATATTAAAATGAGTACTGGAGTGAGGGCTGCTAAAAATTCAGGAATAAATTATATTTTAAAATACAATATTAAAATACAAAACAGTTTTTAAATGGTAATAATATTTCACACTATTACTGTTTTTTTATTAGAATTTTTTTACTGTATTTTTGATCAGATAAATGCAGCATTGATGAGCGTAAGAGACTTTTTTTCAAAAACATTTTAAAATCGTACGATCCTAAACTTTTGAACTGTAGAGTATGTTTTTTTTTCGAATGTCACAAATAATCTCAAGGAAGTAGTTTTAGAAAACAAAAGGCGATTAAAAGACAAAAAAGGAAGTGTTTCCTCTTTAGCCATCAACGCCAGGCATCCTGCAGTCTTTCTCTGTATTCAGTGAGTCCCTGAAGAGAAACATTAACCCAAACCGACCTTGTGCTTGTATTTACAGCCACAGGAACCCCGAATTAATGTATGAGAGAGAGAAGAGCATGTTACTGCGATAAATGCAGATGCCTGTACAGGAGAATCTGCTGCAGGCCATGCTGAAATGCAGAGCGATCTATAATATGCCATTAGATTTGTAAAGTTTGGGAAACTGCATTCAATCAGATCAATTCAATTGCATAAAACAGTCGAGCAGACCTTGAGTGACATGAGAGTTCATTATGCACGTTTTTATTGTCCTCAGTTGTGTAATCGCAGACTGGTGGATGATAAGCAATATCCTGAAGCCGTCACCCCCCAAACAATGCTCTCCACTACTGTAATTGTAAAGTATTTTTCCCAAGCCACCAAGAGTGATGACGGGGGAGGCTGTTGGCCCGCCTTACCACCACTCCACCCAATCCTCTGTCCACCTTTATCAGTACAAAGCTGCAGTGTGTGGTCACAGATCACCTGAAGTCTCAGACAGGCGAAATGACCTCAGGCGAGTCCAAGTCGGAGCTCTTTACAGTATCCACTGGCGATGGGGGGGATGCCCATCAGAATCAGCCTAAGAAGTTGTCCTTCTATGAGCACTACGTTCAGCCGTGCCTGGCGGAGGTCCTCGGCTCCATTCTCTTCATGTTTGTGGGCTGTGTGTCGGTCATGGGCAACGTGGGCATCAGTGGGAGCATCCAGCCTGCCCTGGCACATGGACTAGCGCTGGCTATAGCAATTGCCATTTTTGGAGAAATCAGGTAACTGCCTTATGTCCTGTGTGCTTGATTTAGCAAATGACTAGATTTTTAAATAGAGAATAAAAATGAAAATATATATAAACAATGTTTATGATATTTATGAGGTTTTTATATTTATAATATAAAAAATATTAAATATCTAAATTGAACAATGAATAATGTAACCAAAACTGTCATTTGAAATCCATTTATTTTGCATTTACTTAAAATATCTGATTACTCTGCAAAATATTGTTTAATTTCATATTTTTATTTTTCGTTTAAAAATTTATCATTTTTATTAACATTTTTGAAATTTTACTCCGAGTTCTTTATTTTTTATTTAAATGATTATTTTCTTGTAGGAATATTAAAGTTCTTAACCTGTTTTATTGGAGAAAATTAAATTTAGCCATTCAATCCAAAACAAAACATAATGTATGCATGATGGCTTACATTTAATGCGACTATCTGATCTTGTTTTTCAGTGGTGGTCACTTTAATCCAGCCGTGTCCGTGTGCGTTTACCTTATCGGAGGAATGGAACTGATGCTCCTGGTGCCATATGTGCTCTCACAAATGTTAGGTGGAGTGATTGCTGCCAGCCTCGCCAAAGTATGTGTCCAAGCTTCTCTGTTAATATTTGTGACTGTGTTTGTGACTTGACTTGACATTGCGAAGCCTTATTGCGCAAATTACTGAATCATTAACACTGATAAAACTTTCACTTTCCATGATTCAAGAGTTTTTTTTCTTCTTTTTTCTTTAGGCTGTCACTACAAATGAGGCATTTGGAAATGCAACAGGAGCAGCATTTGATGCCGTTCAGTACTCTCATGGCATTGGCTCTGCGACTCTGGCAGAGATGATTATGACACTCTTCTTAACTATGGTTGTCAGCATGGGTGCCGTGAATGTAAGGACCCGAAGTCATCTGGCTCCTTTCTGCATTGGACTCACTGTGACTGCAAATATTTTGGCTGGGTAGGAAACTAATATTTCACACAAACTACACAAATAAATGATATAGCCTATTGTACAGAATACTATGCTGTAGTATATTTTAAATAAGAAAAAATGTTTTCTGTTTCGCAGCCATAAAGAGCATTTGTGTTAAATATAAAAAAATATTAAATATAGGAATGACTGGAAACATCTGTTTAAATTCATGTTTAAACATCTGTATCTAATTATATATATATATATATATATATATATATATATATATAATAGATAGATAGATAGATAGATAATAACTAGAATTTACATGGCTCCATTGTTTTTTTTTTATTTCCATTTCTCCATGTCTTAAGTCGCTGGGGTATATTTGTAGCAATAGCCAAAAATACATTGTATGGGTCAAAATTATCTATTTTTCTTTTATGCCAAAAATCATTAGGATATTAAGTAAAGATATTGTTCCATGAATATATTTTGTAAATTTCCTACTGTAAATATATCAAAACTTAATTTTTGATTAGTAATATGCATTGCTAAGAACTTCATTTGGACAACTTTAAAGGCGATTTTCTCAGTATTTTGATTTTTTTTTGCACCCTCAGATTCCAGATTTTCAAATAGTTGTATCTCAGCCAAATATTGTCCTATCCTAACAAACCAAACATCAATTTGTTGTTGGTTTTTTTGTTGTCCTTTAAATCCTTTATATCGTTGTGCGTAGAAACGTACAGATTTTGGGTGGTGGTCATGTATAACAGTGATTTTACCTCTGTAGCTCATTTCTAATAATTGATTATATACATTACATACATTTATAAGCAGATGTTGATGGTCTCATTTTCTCACAAGTTGTTACACTTGTTTCATTGTGGAGACAGAGGTGTCCTTAATGAACATGGCAAGCAAATAAACTGAACATCACAGGATATGTTACAGGAAACAAAGACATTAAACAGCCTTGGAACAATAATGGCAATAGGAAATAATGATTCCTAACAATAAAATGTGCTAATGGGCTGTATTTAGGGTCACTTTTTAAAGCCAGTCTTCCAGCCTCTTAGTTTTCAGTGATTTCACTGATTTCGTCTTCCATGTTCAACAGGGGTGGAATATCAGGAGCATGTATGAATCCAGCACGGGCCTTCGGGCCAGCAATAGTGTCCGGTCACTGGACGTACCACTGGATATATTGGGTGGGACCTTTAACTGGCGCTCTGGTCACTGTCAGCCTTGTGAGGTATTCCTGCTGCTCACCTTACACAATGAATGATTTTCTTCATCTAGGAAGAGTGTAAAGTCATTTATTGTATCAACTTAAAGTATATATGATTATTGACTTTGAGGCTGATCAGATTGAAACAAGAATTAATAGTTAATTCATGTTTTATGTACATTACAGTTTTTGTCTTTGAAACTTTCAATCCTTATATTTAAAATGTGAGTATGAGTATCTGAGTATCCATAAGTATCTGATCAATTGCATTATTCATTCTAGGTTGGTAGTGGGAGACAAGAAGATTCGTGTTATTTTCAAATGATGGAGAGGGGACCTCAGAGGATCTCATGTTGCAAGCTTTTTAAATTCGAGATAACTTGTAAAGCGTTGTATGATATTGTCAAACATTTATATAAGTGCAGTATTCTATAGTTTTCTGTATTCTGATGCTTCATTGTCTCTTTGTCAAGTGTATTTGTTTTGGCGTTTTTTTTAGTTTTTTTTTAGTTAGTATAGCCTGCCATTGTGTATTCTGATGTTTTCTGTTAATAAAGTCTTTTCTTAGAAATTGCCTGCATCTATTTCTTCACTTTATACTATGTAAATAGGCAGGACCCCAAACAAAAATTATAATATAAATGTTTAATTAATCAATGAAATAAATGTTTACATTTTTTAAGCATGACAACATATCATTCACAAAGTGAACCTAAAAATCGTCTCATATATATATATATATATATATATACATACATACAGTATATATATATAATTTTTAATTTTTTTTAAGAAATCCATTCCTAGACCCCCCTAATAATATATCATTATTTGAATGATAATATAATTAGTTTTTTTTGTTTGAATAC